ATCGTGGTGAAATCTAACCCCCCCCCAACTGTTTCTGTGGGCGTGGCTTGGTGGGGGCGGGAGTCATGTGACGGTGGGTGTGACCAACTTTTTTTCACTTTTAGCTTTTTTTAAGCTTTTTAAAGCATTTTTAAATGCTTTTAAAAACGCAAAAAAAAAAGGTTCTGAAAATCGTGCGGCTCACAGCTGAGCTGTGCGATCCTCGGAAACGTTTTTGTTTACTACTGATTCGCAGAACCAAGGACAATCGTCCCTACCAATTCGGCTGAACCAGGAGGATTTCACCCCTGATCCAGTTCCTTTTCCCAAGTACCTTAACTAAGCCAGGTATTGTCTGTTTTGTATATGTTTCTGAATGCAGAACTTTGTATTTTTCACTAACTGAACTCCAGTGGACTTGGGTGGTGTACAAAACTGGTGGTGGTGGTGGGGGGGGAACTGATATTTTTTGTTAATTTCAGATTATGAAATGTCACACAGCAGGAATTTTTTAAAAAGGCACTGACTCTATTTCCCCCCTCCCTAAGAAACAAGAATTAAATATTACTTTCTCAAATATGTGTTCCCAATGTACCGTAAATTGTTTGCTTAGATCTGTTGACCTCATAACAGCTGGTATATTGATCGTGTGTAGTAATGGATAATGATGCTGCATTCTTATCTCTGGTGGAAAGGGTTTTCCCAGCTCTTTCCCAACCATGGTAATATTGATTGGGAATAGGTATGATATCTTGTATTTCAGCTGGTGCTACGTAGTGCTTAATCTTTGTCCACATACCAGAGGCTTTACTCCCTTCTGTGGTATTAAATAATTGGGATGTGTGCCTTTAACATTCATAAATTGACAAGCGTGTGACACTAATTTGCAGAGAAGCTGTTACCAGTTCTGACTTCCCTATTTATTTGGGTCATGTGTCCTCGAGAGACAAATTTTCTTTTTTAAATATAAAAAAGTTTTTATTTTTAGACAAACATAAAACAAACGGACNGGCCCCACCAGGCCTCCGGAGGCGAGGCTGCTCCCATCGCCAGGGTCGGCTGGCAGCAGCGGGGAGCGTTCACCATCCGCAGCCATCGCCGCTGCGGCTGCTGCACCCGTAACCGCCCCGCGTCTCTTTCGGCTTCCGTAGCGCACACGCCCCCGCCCCCTCGCTATCCCGGATCACTCTTATCACATGACGACCCGATGGCATCACCCTATCGACTGCAAGGAAGTAACTCGGTCCCTGTCACGTGACCAGAAACCGGTGGCGATAGTGGGTGCTGCGCTCCTGATTGGTCGGGAGAGACTGTGACGGCGTGTCGCCCGCTTCGTTCCATTGGAGGCTAATCGTGCTCGTTCTTTCGCAGCTCCCCCCTCGTCCCGTGACTCTTTCTACGCCTCCTTATTGGATGCTTCTTACAGGCGAATCCCAGTTTGTCCCGAATCATCGTTTCTTTCCAATTGGTTATTACTCCACCCCTCTCTCAAAGTAGGCCCGACGTTGAAGGAGTTTTAACTCACGTGATGGTAAACCGCGGGTGCTGATTGGCTCAGCTCTTCCGCTGTTCCATAGTACGATCCTAGGAGCCATCGTGGAGCTGACGTGAGGAAACGTCTGCTCTCCCATTAGGCGGGTCGAAGTTCTCCATTGCTTGTCCTACCAATCGCTCCTCCTTTTCTAAGGAACGCCCCGCCCCCTCAACCATGATTGACGGTGTACGTGAAGATTCCGCCCCAGAGTTCGAAACCTTAATTTAAAGAGAAAAGAAAGGTAGCCATCCAGTCCTGCACGTGCTCCGTTTCGCGCGTGGAAAGCCACGCGGAACTTAGTCCCCCCCCCCAAAAAAAAATGGAAGCCAGGAAAATATTCCACCGGTTTGTGTCTTTTCTTCTCTAGGATAAGCCTAAGAAGCTTCTTTCAGCCCAGGACTTTTCAAATGTAGCCACTTTTAAGATGTGCGGACTTCGGCTCCCAGAATTCCCCCAACCATTGGTGAAAATGACTGGGGAATTCTGGGAGTTGAAATCCACCTGCCTTAAAAGTGGCTCAGTTTCAAAAGCGCTGGGGTTAAGTGAGGATTGATAGGATTTAACTGCGATTGGTTAAATTGCAGTTAATTTGATTGGTAGAATAGAACTGCAATTGGTTAAATTGCAATTAATTTGGTTGGTAGGATTTAACTGAAGTTGGTTAAATTGAAATTAATAATTAGGTTGGTAGGAATTAATTGCCACTGTTTAAATTGCAATTAATTTGATTGGTAGAATATAATTGCAATTGGTTAAATTGGAATTAATTAGGTTCGTAGGATTTAACTGCAATTGGTTACAATACAATACAATACAATAGCAGCGTTGGAAGGGACCTTGGAGGTCTTCTAGTCCAACCCCCTGCCTAGGCAGGAAACCTTATACCATTTCAGACAAATGGCTCTCCAACATCTTCTTAAAGACTTCCAATGTTGGGGCATTCACAACTTCTTTAGGCAAGCTGTTCCACTGATTAATTGTTCACACTGTCAGGAAATTTCTCCTCAGTTCTAAGTTGCTTCTCTCCTTGATTAGTTTTCATCCATTGCTTCTTGTTCTACACTCAGGTGCCTTGGAGAATAGCTTGACTCCCTCTTCTTTATGGCAACTCCTGAGATATTGGAACAGTGACATCATGTCTCCCCTAGTCCTTCTTTTCACAAGACTACGCATACCCAGTTCCTGC